CGGATCTCCTCTGGAACCCTTTTTAAAGATGGGAGTGACATTTGCTACCTTCCAGTCCTCAGGAATGCAGATTTTAATGAAAGATTACATATTTTTGTCAGGAGATCCATAAATTCCCATCTGAGTTCTTTCAGATTATTATATATATTATTATATTATAATATAAAGTGCTAGTTTGTATCAAATGGCAAGCATTTGCAGCATCCTGAAGCAACAGCCAGCTGACATCATAGTTTGGGTTAAATTGGCCTCAACTTCTTGGGTGCAGCTCCATAATCAAAGGCCTGATGGAAGAGCTCCATCTTGCAGGCCCTGTGGAACTGTAAAAGGTCCCGCAGGGCCCTGATGTCCTCGGGGAACTCATTCCACCAATATGGAGCCACCACTGAAAAGGCCCTGGCCCTTGTCACAGCCAGCCTGGCTTCTCTGGGGAACATGTGGGGAAAGGCGGTCCCTTAGGTATGTAGGCCCCTGACCATATAGGGCTTTAAAGGTAAGAACCAGCACCTTGAACCAAATTTGGTATGCTATAAGCAGCCAGTGCAGTGCTTTTAGTGCAGGCCGGATGTGCTCCTGCATAGGGAGGTCCAATAACAGCCTGGCTGCTGCATTCTGCACCGGATTTGGGACAGGAACAGTCCCATGTAGAGACATTCCGGTAATCCAGTCTTGATGTGACCATTACGTGGATCACTGTTGCCGGGTCATTGCATTCAAGGAAGGGAACCAGCTGCCTGATCAGCCGAAGATGGTAAAAGGCTGACTTTGCAGTGGCTGCTACCGGAACCTCCATTGTTAAGGAGGCATCCAGGAGCATTCCCAGACTCCTAATCTCCAGCGCTGGCACCAACGGTGCTCCATCAAAGGTCAGGAGTGGGATCCCTACCCTCGGACTGCCACGACTCAGGCAAAGGACCTCCGTCTTTGTCGGATTCCGTTTCAGTCGGCTCAGTCTAAGCCAACCAGCCACAGCTTTCAGTGTCAGGTCCAGACCTTCCAGGTTAGAGTCAGATTGGCCATTCAACAGCAGATAGAGCTGGGTGTCATCCATGTATTGGTGACACCCTCTGGGCAATCTAGATAAGGGGGCACATGCAGATGTTAAATAACATCAGGGAAAGCACCGCTCCTTTGGGCACTCTGCAAATTAGTGGGTGTCTTTGGGACAGCTGTTCCCCAATGGCCACCCTTTGTCCCTGACCCTGAAGGAAAGAGGTAAGCCCCTGCAAGGCAAACCCTGGAATCCCAGTGTCGGCGAGGCCATGGGTCAGTAGTTGGTAGTCGACCATGTCAAACGCTGCCGACAGGTCCAACAACAGCACCGCTGAACCGCCTCGATCCAGATGTCTCTGAAGGTCATCCGTGAAGGTGACCAGTGCCATCTCCATCCCATGGCCTGGTTGGAAGCCAGACTGGAAGGGATCTAATGTGGAGGTGTCATCCAAAAAACTCTGTAACTGAATCGCTGCCGCCCACTCAATTACTTTGCCCAGGTAGGGCAAATTGGTAGTTAGCCAATTCGGCTGGGTCCAGAGATGGTTTTTTTAGGAGAGGGCGTACCCACTGCCTCCTTGAGTCTTTGGCTTTTGTATAAGTTCCTCCCTATGAGCCTGAAAGAGTTTGTACTGAGACTGTGGGAGATCTCTCTGTTTGTGCTTTATTACAAAAGGGATTGCTGTCTGTAACGTCCCAGCGGCATCAGTCGAAGAGACGGCAGATTCTACACTGTGCCACATCTTGAACCTGTACAGACGAACGACTTGGCTTCATCAGGCCTTGCGTGAAGGCACGAGAGTGCAGAGCGTGGAGCAGATTCGGGAAGTTGCCTCCGGGGCTGCCAGGATCAGAGGGGAGACCCTGGGCATTATCGGGCTAGGTATGCTCCACTGGCTTTGCTTCCTTTGGGGACAGAATAATGGTCCGTAGGTGCTGCTTTGCTGTTTGCTTTTTGCAGAGCAGGTTAGTTTACCTTTAGCATATTTTCTGGGGGGTTATCTTTAGAAGTATCATAAAGATACTCCAAAGCAGTGGGCTTTAATTCCTCCTCCCAATATAATTGAAATGAATTAGAACTGTCTTCTCTAAATGTGGTTGGTATTTCCGCTTTTCTTCCATTTGGGTGGGAAGATTTCATTTTGAGTCATTCATGTGTCTAATACTTTCCTTTTCTCTGTCCAGTGAAAGCTCTGTGGCTCAGTATATTGAGCAGTCTGACAATCTGACATTTCATTTATAATCTCTGTTTGTTTCCCAAAAGACAGAAGAAATGGAAACATTTTGCAGCATCCAAAGTTATGTTAGGATTTTGATTAGAGAGCTGGAAGGGAACCACCCTGCTTGGGTTAGAATTGTAGAAATTCACTAACCACTGTAGAATGTTTTGAATTTCTTTCAAACAAGGGGAAGGAGATCTATATCTAGCACTGTATTTTTTTAAAAAATCATGCTTTCCCCTTAACAGTTACCATTTCACAGTTATGATTTCATGTACAGTTATGACTGTTGCTTATGCAAATAAGCATGTAAATAATTTCCAAATGATGTTGTTCACATCAAACCTAGCACCCGCTGCGAGACTTGTAACATTCTGTTCTCCAGGTGACCTCGGGTGCCATTCCACTGAAAATGAGGAGGAGGAGGAGGGTCCCACCAGGGCAGCCCCTGGGCTTCAGCTCAGCAGTTTATATCTTTGTCCAAATTCCAAGTCAGAATTCCTTTTGAGCAGTCTGAGAGAAATGTGTTGCAATAAAAAGTACAGATGTTTGTAATACTGTCTCTTTGTGTAGCAGGTAATTCAAGATTGTTCTAAAGAAAGTGCTAAATGGGTGGTCTCCTTCTAGGACTAGCCAAACGGAGATTGGTGTGGATGGACTGCAGTGCAGTCTCCACAGCATAGGTAAAGTTTGCACCTATAACAGGTATTCTTCTAGGCGGCATGGATATTTGGGGCATTGCATGTTGCTCCTTTTCATCAGTGCAACGAACATGAAGTTGAGCAAACTTCAGAGGACGGCGGAAGACCGGAAGGCCTGGCGGGAGCTGGTCCATGGGGTCGCAAAGAGTCGGACTCGACTGTGCGACTGAACAAACACAATGTTGCTCCTACTCCACCTGCTATTCCGAGCAGGAATTGCTTGCATTTCCGCAGCTCCTGTGCTCACCCCCAGGTAGCTAGTCTATCAAGGCACCTTCCCGGTAGTGCCTTCATCTTAGAGGATGAAATACCATCTAGACTATGAAAAGCCAGTGTATAAGAGGTTCAGAACACAAATTTCAGTTCTTCCAATTAAGGGTATAGATGGCCTTTCTAGGTTTCTTTCAACCTCCCCTGAAGAGTGTGAATATTTGGCCCTTCGAGGCATTGCCAGGACTGACTCTTCTGTCATGATTATTCTCCACATTCCTAGTCAAGTTGGGTAGCCAGGTTACTCTGTAGCAGTAGAAAAAACTCCAGTAGCACCTTAAAGACTAACGAATTTATTAGTCTTTAAGGAGCCACAGGACTCTTTTCTACTACCTTGCTGGATCAGGGGAATGCTGTAGACATAGTTTATACCTTGATTTCAGTAATGCTTTTGATAAAGGTTCCACATAATATTCTTGTTGAGAAACTGGTAAAATGTGGTTTGGATCCTATGATTATTAGGTGGCCCTGTAACTGGTTGACAGATCACACCCAAGGAGTGCTTGTAAATGGTTCCTCATCCTCTTGGAGAGGAGTGACAAGTGGAGTGCCTCAAGGATCTGTCCTGAGACCTGTTTTGTTCAACATCTTTATCAATGATTTGGATGAAGGAATAGAGGGAATGCTTATTAAATTTGCAGATGATACTAAATTGGGAGGGGTAGCAAATATGGTAGAAGATAGAGTCAGGATACAGGATGATCTTCACAGGCTGGAATACTGGGCTAAAACAAATAAAATGAATTTCAGTGGGGATAAATGTAGAGTTCTGCATTGAAGTAGGAAAACTCAAATGCATAATTATAAGATGGGGGAGACTTTTCTTGGCAGTAGTCCATGCGAAAAGGATCTAGAGGTCTTTGTAGACCATACACTGAACATGAGTCAGCAGTGTAATACGGTGGCTAAAAAGACAAATGTGATTTTGGACTGTAGCAACAGAAGTATAGTGTCCAGATCATGCAAAGTCATGGTATCATGTTATTCTGCTGTGATTAGGACCTGACCTAGAGTATTGTGTTCAGTTTTGGGCATCACAATGTAAGAAGGATATAGACATGCTGGAACGTGTCTAGAGGAGGGCAAAGAAGATGGTGAGGGGTCTGGAGACCAAGTCCTATGAAGAAAGGTTGAAGGAGCTGGGTATGTTTAGCCTGGAGAGGAAACGATTGAGAGATGATATGATAACCATCTTCAAGTACTTGAAGGGCTGTCATATAGAGGATGGTGTGGAGTTGTTTTCTGTTGCCCCAGTGCTTAGTTCTCGTGGCCCTTTCTTACATGCCCAGGGAAATGCTGATCAACACTTTGTGGTCAGGAAGCGCTTTTTCTCTAGGCCAATTTGGCTGGAGATCCTGGAGGTTTATTGTCATCTTCTGGCCATGAAACAGTGGTCACTGGGGGGGTGTTGGGTGGAAGTATTTGAATTTCCTGCCTTGTGCAGGGGTTGGACTACATCCCTTCCAACTCTATGATTCTAGGACTGCTAGTCAAGAGATCTTTTGCCTGGAAGAGGACCTGTCTGACCTGGCCTCATTTTTCGAGGTGATGCTGACTGATCACTTAGGAAAGGGTGCAGCCATCATGCTCGCCGCTCCTCTTCCTCCAGTTTTTTGAGGCCCTCACTGAAAAAAATTATTTGAGCAGCTCAGCCCAATCCAGTCGTGACCCACCAGGAATTTCTGCCTGTTGGTTGGTAGAGGGTGTGATGTTGAGTGGAGGTTACGCCAGCAGAACCTCAAGGCCTGAATTCTGGTCATTCTGCGGCTACCCCCAGGGAACACTTGGGCACAGTGGGGCATCGGAGCAGACGGATGCGGCAGCTGCTGCTCAAGGAGGCAGAGGCAGAAAGTCTACTTGGCCTTCTCACTGCCGGTTCGATCGCATTCGCATTTTGCTCTTTGAGAATTGCTTTGTGCCTGCTTGGAAACCGGACTGATCCTGGGGAAGCGGCTGTCCACAGGCCACCCTTTCTCCGCAATCATGATGATGCATTCTTCAAGTTTGGTGTAGTGGTTTGGTGTAGTGGTTAAGTGCACAGACTCTAATCTGGGAGAACCGGGTTTGATTCCCCACTTGCACCTGGCTGGATGACCTTGGGCAAGCTGTAGTTCTGATAAGAGCTGTTCTTGAAAAAGAGCAGTTTCTGTCAAGAGCTCTCTCAGCCTCACCTACCTCCCAGGGTGTCTGTTGTGGGGAGGGGAAGGGAAAGGAGTTTGTAAGCCACTCTGAGACACCTTTGGGTAGTGAAGGGTGGGGTATAAATCCAATCTCTTCTCTCTTCTTCCCTGGATGTAAACAGAAAGAAAGGATAGCCTGAAACGGTTGCTTGGAAAACAGGGAAACTGTTATTGATTTTAAAAGTTTATCTAATGTCTCAGATGGCCTTTGGGCAAAAGATGTAAAAGGAAGCCCCTGTCATTCCATGGCAGGGCCTATGCTTTGCCACCCCTGGTCTCAGGTAAAGTCCAGGTAGAGGGGCAAAGCGGCATGGACCCCTCAAGCCGAGCCTGGGGGCAGCCGTCTTCCACTGCTGATACTCTCCCAAGAGCTGCTGTTCCCAGGTGTTTTTCCTTTAACCGACAGAGTCAATAACCATGGATTATCTTGTCCATGGATCTGCAGCCAAATCTGACCCTGAGTTAAATATTACGCATTCTGCAAAACACTTCCTTTCTGTCTGTTTTGAATTTATTGACTGCCAGCTTCATTTGGGTAGCCTTAAGCTATAGGAGTAGAAGAGAGAGTGGGCAGTAGGTGGATTCTTTCTGCCTTTCTGTCAAATTTCATACTGTTGAGACAAATGACCTTTATTTTGTAATGAATAAACCTTTTCAGCTTTTTACTGATAGAAGGCTGAAAAATGTACACTGAAAAATGGGCGCCCTCTGATTCGCCCTGCCACTGCAATACCTTGCGGGAATTTGGGCGGGGGGGGGGTTGCCAACCCAGTGAGGGCTGGAGGCATGGTGCACACAAGGAATGGCTTTGCTGGCTTAGGAAGACCGCCATATTCCTCCGGGCGGAAGCAGAGGAGGGGGGGAGTTCTCATCCTGTGAACGGTGGTGAGCAAGAGCCTCTTTCATAAGATGCGTAGAATGTGGAGGCTTTCCTGGTTTGCAATCTGAATGCTGTTTTTGTCCCTTGTGGCTGATGCCATTCTGCATAGGAGTTTCATGTGTGGCCAGTGGCTCTCTGTACACCAGCCTGACTGTGTGTGTGTGTGTGTGTGTGTGTGTGTGTGTGTGTGTGTGTGTGAAATGTGGTTTTCCAGGACGAGTTGGGCAAGCAGTTGCACTGCGGGCAAAAGCCTTTGGCTTCAACGTCATTTTCTATGACCCGTACCTCTCGGATGGCATTGAGCGTGCCCTTGGGCTCCAGCGGGTGAGCACTCTGCAGGACTTGCTGTTCCACAGTGACTGCGTGACCCTCCACTGCAGCCTGAATGAACACAACCATCATCTTATTAACGATTTCACCATTAAGCAGGTATGTCTGCCTCTTGGAATGGGCTCAGGTGGGGTAGCCATGTGGGTGTGAAGCAGTAAAATAACGTTTGAGTCCAGGGGCACCTTTAAGACCAACAAAGTTTAAACAGACAAAAGCTTATCCCTAGATTTAACTTTGTTGGTCTTAAAAGGTGCCACTGGGCTCAAATTTTGTTCTATTGGAGTGGGCTACAGTGATGATAATAACAGTATTCTGAAAGTGCTCCTCACACACATTTTCATGGTCCATACAACAAGCCTGCAAGGCAGAGCACTATCATTATCCCAGTCTTGCTGATCCAGTAGCACAGTCAGTCTGACTGATAGAAAAACCTACTCAACTGGAATAATTCTAGTGTCTGTTTGGATCAGCAGGTTTGTCGAGTGAAAAATGTTATTTCCTGCCACTGCAATTTAGAACACTGATCTTCATTCACCTGTGTATGTAGAAATTATACACTGAAAGAATTTCTTCTATGCCATAAGAAATACTAGAATGTTTGTGATGGTCTGGTTGGCTAGAGCCCCCTGGTGTTCAGTGAGAATATTCATTGTTTTTTAGCGAGTTAATTGGATGGACAATCTGGTCTGGCTTTTATGACGTTCTTGTAAATTGTCCCCAAAACATATTTATTTATTTATTTATTAAATTAGATTTACCAGGCTGCTCTTCCCTACAGGAAGGGCTCAAGGCGGCTTACAACAGTATTATACAGTCACATACAACTACATTAAAACCAGTCCAATAGATAAAAACAGTATATGTACAGTACTTGAGATGGCAGAAAATCCTAACTCCCCGGCCTCCCTGGGGGGAGGGGCTATGAGGAATGAGGAACCGCATGAGAGTGCCAGAAGAAGTCCGGTCGCTGTCCTCAGCCAAACGCCCGGCAGAACATCTCTGTCTTGCATGCCCTGTGGAAAGGTAGCAGCTCCCGCAGGGCACGGATGTCTTCCAGCAGAGCGTTTCACCAGGCAGGGGGGCCAGGGCTGAGAAGGCCCTGGTCCCTGGTCAAGGTCAGCCGGACCTCTCTCCAGCAGTGAAAATCATAGCAGGTTGCCCTGCTAATCCTGCAGACTGACATATGCCAAAAGAATAGGTGGCCCGATTCTGAGGTCCTGTCCTGGTGGCCAGACGCAGCTTCTGTGGATCCGTCATTGTTTTTTCAGTGTTTACGGAGGCAGAGAAATGAACTGAGGTTTTTTATGGCTGCTGTTACACAAGACCCACAATGTACTTCCAGTGTACTCCATCAGTCATTTACAAGTGGGTTTTCCTATTTCACACAGGAAAACCCAGGTGCAAACTATTGCTAAATTGCATTAAGTGCGAGCAGTCAGAAGGTCTGTGGAGTTCTACAAGTCACCAGTGTTTCGAATAAAGCCTTGGGCATTTGTGAAATAGTTAACATAATTTAATTCAAGTGGTTAAGACGCTGAACTGCAGGCTGTGGAAGGTCGGTAGTTCAGCAGTTCGAGACCTGAGTGTGCCGCCATGACGGAGTGAGCTCCCGTCTCTAGTTCCAGCTCCTGCCAGCCTAGCAGTTCGAAAGCAAGAAACTGCAAGTAGATAAATAGGTACCACTTCAGTGGGAAGGAAACAGCGTTCCGTGCACCTTGGTGTTTAGTCATGCCGGCCACATGACCACGGAAATGTCTTCAGACAGCGCTGCCTCTTTGGCTTGGAAACGGAGATGAGCACCACAACCCTAGAGTCGGATTCGACTGGCTTTCAAGCAAGGGAAACCTTTACCTTTACCTATATCCAAAATACACCTTCAGAAAGTGTGTTTATATTATGCACAGAATCAAAGGAAAATGTGTAAACTGAATTTTTCCCCATCAAATAAAGAAAATGAAGCAAGTAATAAACAGTCACGTATGCGTTTAGAAGTTACAAAACCTTAGAAAGTGTTTGGTTTAAGAAAGATCTCCGATCTGAAAAGTAATTAGTATGTTATTTTTATTCTGGTAGTTGTACAGTAATGCTTTAAATGCCCCTCCTTGTTTTCCTTCTGATAGGTAAGTAGAAAGTTAGAGCAGAGCTGTGGGAAAGCACAAAGTGGGGGGAGGGGATACCCACACCCCACCAACAGAACACGGGCATCATGTTGCTTCGTGGGTGGCGCCCGTGTCCATGCAGGGCCTCGTGCCCGTGTGCCCGTCCCCCTGTTGCGAAGTGTCGCCTGCCTTTGTGTGCCGTGAAGCAGCTCTGACGTTGCTCTCCTGGCCTTCTGGCACACCCAGCAGCCTGGCATGAGGGAGTCGGGCAAGACCAGCAGACCAAGACCTGGAGACCAGGCCCTGCAAGGAAGGGGCTGAGAGGGCCGTGGGAATGTTCAGTCTGGAGGGACATGATTGCAGTCTTTTAAGTATCCAAAAGGCTGTCACTCAGAGGAGGGCAGGGAGCTGCTCCTGTTGGCAGCAGAGATTAGGATACTTGCAACCATGGGTTTAAAATTACAGGCAGAAAGGTACCAGCTGGATAGTAGGGAAGGGTTTTTTTACAATAAGAGTAGTTCAGCAGTGGAATCAGCTGCTTAGGAAGGTGGTGAGCTCCCCCTCAGTGGCTGTCTTCAAGGAGCGGCTGGACAAACACTTGTCAGGGATGCTAGTTTAGGCTGATCCTGCATTGAGCAGGGGGTTGGCTCCTTCCAGCTCTGTGATTCAGTGCAACTCTGGGCCAAGGATCCTTCACTAGGGCACACTGAGAGATCAAAAAGTGTGTCTTTGTTGCACATGTTTATATTCTGTTTTCCATACCTTTTGAAATGCTTTGTGCAGGATAAGGCAAAGGGTTTCAGTGGGTGGCCGTGTTGGTCCACAGTACACTCAAGTCCAAGAACAACGTAGAGACCAGCAAGATATTCAGGGTAGGAACTTTCAGCAAGGGTCCAACAGTGCTCCCATAGGAGAAGGAACAGTTGGAACTAACCCATTATGTCTGCAGACAGGTGCTTAGATTTGACGTGCCAGTCTGAAAGCAGTTTTTGTAACCTTTGCATTTTAACACTTGCAGTAAAAGGAATGTTGTGGAAGCTGGAAAACAGAAAACATGGGGACCCACGAGGACCTCCAGGGGAGGGGAGTTTCCTCCCTCTCACTCCAGCTCTACCTTCTTCACTCACACTTCCTCCCGCAGTCTTGCTTGCCCTCTCACCCACTCACACCTCTTCATGCCCTTGACCTCCAGATCCTGATTCACTCCCCCCCATGCCAGCCTTGTTGCCCGCCACCACCTCGTTGCCCCTGTGTGTTTTCCCATCACACTCTCTTCTGCTTCTTCCCTCACACCCCATTTTCATTGGTCAGGTGCCAGTCTGGGTTACGTCAGCAGCCCCTAATCATGCCCAGAGTATTCCATGGGGGGGGGGTCATCTCATGAAACTCGTGCAGTCACCGCTGTTAACGATGTTGGGTGTTTTTTTAACTGCCCCCATTTTATTTTATTTTTCTTGTATTTAGCAAGCTAGGTGTCCGCTTGAGTTTGGAGAAATATGCACCCCAGCCCTGGCATAGCCGCATTGTGGAGATTTTTTTTTTTTTTTAATCCACAGGGGAGGGGGTCTGGCACCCCTGGCTGTGAGGTATAGGAGAGGCCTGTTCTTGAAGCGTTTCTTTAAATGAATCCTTCTATTTCAGTTGGGGTCTGACTTCAGTGCACTACATAGAGCATAAATTTTAAATCTTTTTAAGCATGTGAAGTTTTGCCGGTAAGAAACCTTGCCTACCAAAGGGCAGGTTTTTTGCCTGATTCTTTCCCAGTATGTGAGAAGGTCACCAGCCCACTGCTAATTGCGGGTGACTCCCGTCAGCATAACACTGAAGGCCTTTAATGCTGTGGCGTCCTTCTGCCCTCCTGCAGATGCGGCAAGGGGCCTTCCTGGTGAACACGGCTCGGGGAGGACTGGTCGACGAGAAAGCCCTTGCGCAGGCCCTGAAGGAGGGGCGGATACGAGGGGCAGCGTTGGACGTGCACGAGTCGGAACCATTCAGGTGCCTGGACTTCCGGTTCCATACCGTCTCCAGTGCTCAGGCCATCCAGCAATGAGGAGATGATCTCTTGTCTTTCTGGTCTTTCCCAGGACTTCGCATTCACAGTTGCAGTGCTTGCTGAGCCCTGCTGCCTTTGTTGTGCTTAGGAGTTGTCAGAATAGACAGGGAAGTCCCGTGTTCCACTCCCCACAGAGGCAGCCTGTCCCTTTCTTCCTAGGAAGGGAAATACGGCATCCTTTCTGGGAGGTGGAGATCTGCCCCAGGCTGCCTGCCCGGCGTGCCCTCCCCCTGGGCGCCCTCTGAGCTGAGTGACCACAAGGTGGCGGCGGCAGCAGCAGCAGCAGAAAAAGAAGAGAAAGGGGGGGTATTATGAGTGGAGACCACTGAACTGGGCTGCTTCAAGGGTTCATCGCCAGAGGAGAGGCAGGATGGAATGTATTGCCCGCTGTCCTCTCCGTACAAGGTCTCATCCTGTCCCCCAGTGTCCAGGAAACTGAGAGCTTTGCGTTGACCCTTCCAGCTGTCAGGCATAAATCTCCTTAACTCGAAGCTGTGGGCTGCTGTAGGCCGCAGTTTGTCCTGCGGTATCAAGGGCTGAAGAGGTGGTGATGCTTGAGTGGCCGATCGGCACAGAACAATCAGATTCAAAACCCGGCAGTTCTCTGTTCATGTTTGGCTTGTAAGGCCTGTGCAAAACCCTCATGTTCCTTTGTCTTCCTGCTCAGTTTTAGTCAGGGTCCTCTGAAGGATGCACCAAATCTGATCTGCACCCCACACGCTGCCTGGTACAGTGAACAAGCCTCGATAGAGATGCGGGAGGAAGCAGCGCGGGAAATCCGGAGAGCGATCACAGGTGCTCCTTCCTTCCTTCCTTCCTTCCTTCCACAGTGAACAAGCCTCGATAGAGATGCGGGAGGAAGCAGCGCGGGAAATCCGGAGAGCGATCACAGGTGCTCCTTCCTTCCTTCGACCAACAGCAGCTCACATCATTTTCCTCCAGTCTGTCTTGACAACAACCCTGTGAGATAGGTCAAGCTGAGAGTGTGTGACTGGCCCAAGGTTGCCCAGCCGGCTTCCATGGCACGAGTAAGGATCTGATCCTGGGTCTCCGAGATCCTCGCTTGACACTCTAGCCACTGTACCACACTGGCTCTCCTATTTCACTGTTTATCAAATGAATGAGCAAGCATGTGGATGGGTCCACTTCCCCAGCATGAGTGGAGCAGGAAGCGCGAGAGTGTTTTGTGCAGTAGCACAAGCACTGCTGATTGGGTATATTCCTGAGCAGCCTCCTGGCTCTTCCTGCAGCGCTTTGGGCTCGGCAGGCTTCCTGTCCTGTGCTTGCATCAGAGTCTCCGGAAGAGGTATTTCTCTGGGATGAGAGGTGGGTTAGCAGCCCCTACTTTACACAGATCAGACAGGTGTGAAGTGGGGGGGGGGAGCAGCCATAAACAGGCAGCACGGGGGGGGGTGCAAGCTGAGCAGAAGCGCCTTCCCTCCCCTCTCCATTGGGGCACTGGGAGGGAGGGGCCCTTTCCAGAGGTACTTTTGAATCCGCCAATTCCTGCAGCAAAGTTCTTGGAGATGAAGCGGTAAATGTGATTGCTAAAATCCTGCTCTCAAAGGATACAGTTATGTGTTCCTTTGAGAACACGTCTTCCGATGCTGAGGGGCCCCCTCCTTGGAGGTCTTCTTCAGGAGGCCCTGCAAGGCCTGCCTCTTTGCCGGGGCTTTTGAGGGCGTCTGAATGACAGAGGCATCTTTTAAGGGGAGGGGATTTGGGGAGGGAAGGATTTGGGGTTTGCTCTTTTATGTTTGGTTTTAGCTAGGGATGTTTTAACTACTATTGTAAGCCGTCGTGAACCAAAAGGAAAGTGTTTTTTTTATCCCCCCCCAGAGGGGATTTTTTTATTGCATTTTCTATAAAGTACAAACTACAACAAAAAAAAAGGGAAAGGGTTGTCTAAGGAAACTAAAACCCCAAGTATAGGAGATCATTACATCAGCTTATATAAGTGTTAATCTAAGATGCTAGTATGACATTGAACATAGTCGATTAAGCTAAATTATTTTATCTTTTTAACCATTTTTTAACTGTTTAAAAACATCCCCAAGAGCATAATTTACAGTATATGCTTTAAGGCACCATTCAGAGTTCTTCAGCCTTCACTTTGCTTTATCTTTTCTAATCCTCAATTGGTATTCTCGTTTAGTGGCCACCGCCCCCTTGGTCTTTGTACATCTTCCTCTTCTTCCTTATTTTAAATTAAATATCTTTTAAAATCCTAATAGTATTGCCTCCCATTTTCAGTGGTGTTCCTGAAGTCGCTTTCAGGATTAAATCCCTTACGTGTCTCTTCGAGAATCTCACCACTATCTCTCCAGGCAGATTATAGGCCCTGTAGACCACGTCCATTTTGCTTATAAGATATTCCGCTTTTAAATTTGTAACTGGAGCTAATGCATCGCTCAAAAGTTGTCTTAGATTCTCATCTTTAGATTCAGGGACCCCTTGGAACCGGAGGACCAGGTTAGCTTTCTCCATTTGCAATTGCAAAAGTTGAAGTTCATCCGAAGCTTGCTTCTTTTCCAGCATTTGCACCTTTTTCTTTTTTAGAGTTGGCATCCATTTCCTTTACTTTCTCAGCTGTTTGTTCTGCCTTTTTTGTAGTTTCAGACAGTTGGAGCTGCTGAGCTGCAAAGTTCTGATTTAAAGTTGTCAGCTGTTGATTGATGTGAGTCGTCTGATCCAGTAGAGGGCGCAAAGAGTCCGCCAAAAGCTTAGAGAACTCAGTGGTCTCTTCCGGTCGTGGGCTCATGCTCCCCGGTGGTTTCACTTTTGCTTGTTTTCCTCTCTCCATTCTTTTCCACACCATTTTTATGGATTGTTTACTTTTGTATAAACTTGCTGAAGTCTCTGAAATTCGCCCATACGCTTATCTGCGCTCTAGTAAGTTTCTTAAAACAGATTTCAAAACTTTAACTTTCGCTCCCTCCCTTGTTAGCTCGCTTTTTAGTTTATGCGTGTTGGAGGGGCCCCTCCCCTCTCGCTTTTCTCGCCATTCCCAGGGGAGGGCTTTCTTCTTAAACTACCAGCATTTCACTTTTACTCGACTCACTGTTCGTTGTTGGTCATAAGACCTTGCTTAAAGTCTGTTTAAAACGCTCGATCTCCGACACTTGTCCCAGTCAGCGGCTCTAGTTCCATTCAGACGCATAGCAGCAGGACCATCGGGGTGGGAGAGTGCCTCAATTCCCCAGCAACGCGCTGGTGAAGAGGCCACCCTCCAAAAGCCCCATGGCTAGGAGCCTTTCGCAAAGGCTCCGGGGGGTGCCAAACAATTGATAAAAAGTGCATGCACATGAAAGCACATACCCAGAATAGAACTTTGTTGGTCTTAAAGGTGCCACTGGACTCAGACTTTACTTTACTTACTTAATTTATTATGATTATAGGTCAGCAGTGACTACGTAATCAACAAAGTCAGGAACATATAAAAGAAAATATCTACATACACTGAAAAATGCATAGCCTCGTTATAATAAAAAGATTTGACCAGGAGCTTCCTTATTACACAAGCTGAAGCACAGAATTTAGCTGCCTTAGAGGTGGTTTCATTAGAAGGACCTGAAAGGAGAAGAGATATTTAAAATTTGTCAGATCTGTTTGGAAAATGGGATAGAATTGTGTTGATGTATAAGGAACAGATGTCTTTACAGAATAAACAATACAGTAGCACATGTTTGACTGTTTCAGCCATATTCAGTTGGCAAGGACAGATGTATTGAGAATGGGGAGTACCTGAATATCTCCCTAGCAGAACAGCTGAAGGTAAAACATTAAAGCAGGCCAAAATGAAGACTTTTTGATATTTGGGGAATCCTAAGCATAAAGGTATTCTGCCAGCACAATTTCCTGCTGCTGGATAAGATTGAGCCATGCTGTATCAGCTTGGAGAGCAGTATCCCAAATTTGTTTAATCCTTCTTTCCCCCCCCCTCCCCCAAATGCTGTAGCGGGCAGGCAGTCTCAGGACCACATCTGCAAATGCTTGCTGGCAAAGTGACACACCGTATGGTCAGTGAAATGCTTGCAAGCAAAGAGATGATTCCTCAACTGCCTGATCTGTTGACTGATTGCATAAAAATGGTAAATCTTTTAAAGCCAATGCCTCGAGCAGCCGAATGTTCAAAGCACTTTGTGAGGAGATGGGTGCTGAGCATGCAGTCCTGTTGCTGCCTATCGAAGTAAGATGGTTATCATGCGGCAAGGTGCTACCCTGAGTGCTGAGAGAAGAAATTAAGTACTTCTTGTCCGAAAAGAAATCCAAGCTAGCCACATTGCTCAATAGTAATGGCTGGGATCCAACAATGTGCAGGTGGAAGCATAAGGGATCTCGTGCAGCAACTTGCACTTTCCTCTTGGAAATTGTTTGCACAAATCTTGCGCAAGCAGAAAGGCAAGGGGGGAATATAATAAGTTTAATGCAAGAGGCTATCTCATCATCCTCTTGCATTTCCACTTGTGCAAGAGTTCTAGTGGAAGCAGAAATTTTGCACTGGCGTTAACACGGTGAATGGATCTTGAAAGTAGCATACGTGGACAGCATATTTGATCTTATAGATGAACTGAATTTGTAGTCCTTTTAGCTTGCCACTAAGATTAGAAGCTTTCAAAGATAAATCAGTTTTTGGAAGAAAAGGGTAGACAAGGGAATATTTGATATGATTCATCTTTTTTTGTTTTAAAGTAGTTTACACCAATGGCGTTTTTTATGTTCTTCAAACGCTTACCATAAATGAGAAATACAATAACAGAATGCCTGTAAACAAATAAGTGCTCTTCTAGGAAGAACGTGGGCTTTTTGTTTGTCATGATGGGTCCCAGCTTCTTTGATACAGAGTGGTTGATGTAAGATACAAAAGGCTGAGAACCACAGCTGTAGACCAATCAGAGCTGTGCAAGCCAAGAACAGCATCACGCATCAGAGCTGGAGAGCCACATCCCTCCAGGTAACAAACCCTCTTTCACATGGGATGGGGGACAACTTCCCATTAAAGACTCAGTCAAAAGCTTGGGAGCTTTGTTGATTTTAGACTTCCTGCTAGGGAGGAAAATAGTTAATATAGTAGGGGGAAATGCTTTCCAGCGGCATTTACTTTGGAAATTGTCCCCATTTCTGCAGGCATCTGGTCTGGCCATGTGGATCCATCGTGAGTCTAGATTTCTGTAACATGCTTTTGCTGCTGAAGATGAGCGTGATGCCCTATCAGGGGCCCTTGGCATTGATGTGGGAGCTTCAGCTGGTGCCAAATGTGGGGGGTCGGGGTGGGCATTTGCTCTCAGGCTGTGCCTGTTGGGGCCACATTACACTGGTCCCGAAGGCCCTTCATGGGCTGCTGCTCATTTCCAGGACCGTTTCAGGGTGCTGGCACTTCTCTTTAAATACACCACTTGACCTGGCCGGGGACCCTGTCCTTGAAGGACTCTCTCTCTTGCAAGATTAACTCTAGTGTGTCGGTTCCACTCCTCACGACAGGCTTTGCTCTGGAACAGCCTTCCAACAGAGATGGTGCATGGGCCAGGCCAGGCCGGGGGGGGGGGGGTTCCCCCAGGGCTGCTGTGAGACAGAACAGTTTGTAAGAATTTAGGGGTCAGTTTGAATGGGCTTGGGCTTAGCTGTTTTAATCAACTGGTTTGGTTCCTTTCTGTTTCATAATAAGTACTCCTGTTAATCTTTTTGTGTCCTTTTTGCTATCACCCGTCGTGGGGCCTGACTGAGCTGAGAGAAAGGGCCCCAGGGGGGTTATACGAATGTCCTAAATAAATAAATATTATTTTTAAGTTGGAGATTTCTGGGTGGAAGAGCAGCATAGACAGAATATGCAAACAAGTTCCTTTGGAAGTTTGATCAGAGAACGTATCGCAGAAGCCTCTTGTGTGGGACAAAGATGAGTAGACTGAAGGAAAGCTGCACACTTGGCTGTCAGTGGAGGTTTGGTGGCTTTGTCACTCCCCAGATGGAATTTGCTTCTCTACTTCTCTATGCCCTTCGCCCCTGAGGGGTTTCTTCTTCCTTGCCTTGGTGTAGTGGTTAAGTGCGCGGACTCTAATCTGGGAGAACCAGGTTTGATTCCCCACTCCTCCACTTGCACCTGGCTGGATGACCTTGGGCAAGCCATAGTTCTGATAAGAGCTGTTCTTGAAAAAGAGCAGTTTCTGTCAGAGCTCTCTCAGCTCCACCTACCTCACAGGGTGTCTGTTCTGGGGAGGGGAAGGGAAAGGAGTTTGTAAACTGCTCTGAGACGCCTTTGGTTAGTGAAGGGCGGGGTATAAATCCACTTCTCTTTGGCCTTGGGATACCCCCCACCCAGACACACACACAATTTGCCCTTTCTAGTTGCCGTTGGTAGAAAACTCTCCCTCCCAAAGTCCCCCCCCAAACAGAACGTTAACGTGCTCACAGCTTCTGCCTGCTGCCTCCTTCACAGTCCTTGCCCTTCCCAGGAACGACCTCAGCACCTTAGCCGAACGTTTTGGAAAAGAGGCATAGAGGCACTCGCAACCTTTTCGTCATAAAGAGCCCTGACCTAAGATTTGCGCTCTGAGCTACAAAAGTAATAACTCAGCCTGATGCCAGCATTCTTGCTGTACCTGGCCAGGAGCATTTGCATGTTCAGAATGTGTCACAGGTGCTGCCCCTGGTGTGACCATTTCTGATATCTGAAACCGCTTGTTAATCCCAGGAGACCCTGTTCTCTTTATCTCTTGCATTCCTTGGATTCACGCGTTTTTAAACGAAGGAGTGATAAATGCTATTCAGGAGCTTGAAAAACAAAGACTTTTTAGTCTGCTTTTCCACTTCATAGATGATAAAGCCCAACTCTGCACTGGGGAAAAGAGGAGAAGGAGTGGGAGGCTCTTCCCCGGTGGCCAGAAGAAACTGCCCTGGCACATTGCAAGCGGAGGCCTCCTCTCGCGTCATTTTGCTTGTAGAGGCCTTGACAGTATTATTCTGTCCTCTAGGTCGTATTCCAGACAGCTTGAAAAACTGTGTCAACAAAGAACACTTGACTGCAGCGACACACTGGGCCAGCATGGATCCAGGAGTCGTTCACCCAGAGCTCAATGGCGCTGCATACAGGTAAGGGCACAGCGGCAGCAGAAGTATCTCCGCCCGCAGCACATCAGGAACTTGCTGAAAACTTTTTGGCTCTGTTATTTTTCTTGCTGCTAAAGATCCACTGACCTGCTTACAAAGATTCAGGTGGGCAGCTATGTTGGTCTGAAGCAATAGAACAAAGTTTGAGTCCAGTAGCACTTTTAAGACCAACAAAGTTATATTCTGGGTATAAACTTTTGTGTGCATGCACACTTCCATCAAATAGATATCTGCATGCACACGGAAGTTTATCTGAAGAAGTGCACATGCACACAGAAGCTTATACCCAGGATTAAACTTTGTTGGTCTTAAAGGTGCCGCTGGACTCAAACTTTGCTTTATTATTATTACTAGTAAGGAAAGCCCGTCGTGGCGGTAGACGACGGGCCCTAGAACATTACGTTATACAACACAAGCCAATCCTAACCTAGGGCCACATACATACAAGGGGGGAGAGTGACTAGCCTACCAGGCACCCTGTAGCGAGTCGTTGTTGTCTGCGGGAGCTCGTCTGACGACGTCCTCCTGGCGCTGGTCTTTGATTGTTGCGACTTCCTGGCTGTTGCGACTCCTTCGGGCCTGGACCAAGCGCACAGCCGCAAACTTTGCTTTAGTGCTTACAAAGAGGAAGAGTATCCCACGGAGAGAGCCCCAGTGTTTGGTTTAGGGAGGGGCCCCTGGCTTAGTGACAGAGCCTCTGCTTGGCACGCAGAAGGTCCCAGGTTCAATCCCCAGCATCTCCGGTCAAAAGGACCAGGTTATGGATGATGGGAAAGGCCTCGGCCTGAGACCCTGGAGAGCTGCTGCTAGTCTGAGCTGGCAATACTGACTCTGATGGACCAAGGGGGTCTGTTTCAGTATAAAGCCACGTCAGGGGCGTACTGCCGGAGCCATGACCCTCCACTGCCATGAACCCCTCCCCTGAGTTCCGTGGCCTGTCCAGAGGCCTTTGGCATCGGAGGGGTGTTTGCCCTTGTATGAAACCTTTGCCGAAGGAGCCGGCAGCCCTTGATGGCTGCCTCCTGCGAAAAGCCCGAGGGGGAGGGAGAGCAGCTGCCCCCCTCCTCCCAGCAGGGAAGAAGGGGCTTCTGTCCTGGGGGGTGGGGTTTGGAGCGGCGGGAGCCAGTCTCTGCTGGCACTCTTTGGCAAAGGGGAGGCGGAAGCAGGGAGAAGGGGCTGTCTCTCCCGTGGGCGGGGGGGTCTGCTAGTCAGATGGGGAGGGGGACTGGCCGTAGATAGACGAGTGTGCTGTGCTCTCTGGGCGAGATCTTGTCCCGAATGGGAATGTCAGCGGTGGTTCAGAGAAGAGCTCTCCAGCGGTGTAACGCCTGCTCTCCTCTCCTTCCCTCAGTAGGTATCCTCCCGGCGTGGTCAGCGTGGCTCCGCCTGGCATCCCCGCAGCCGTCGAAGGAATAGTACCCAATGCCATGTCTTTGTCACACGGGCTGCCGGCCGTGGCTCACCCTCCTCATGCCCCTTCCCCCGGCCAGACAGTCAAACCAGAAGCCGATAGAGACCACTCCAATGACCAATTGTAGCCCAAGAGAACACCATTCCCAGCATTGGGGGCTGCAGCTTTGGAAAGTGTGTGCAAAACCAGGTGGACTTTTAAGAGATGCAAAACCCTGAACATACTGGAGGAGACCATAGAAGTTTTACAAACTGGTCCAATATGCAGTATAAGGAGAAAAAAATGGTGGGAGAAAGAAAGAAGATTTGAAAACTTTATTCCTCCATATAAAACGTAGTCTGTCCCTGTCCAGTGCCCCGACTCACTGTTTCTGTGTCCTGTGAGTTCTTCGTTAAGCCAGAGAAGTTAGTAGTTAATTATATCATGAATGTACTTGTCTGTGTACAGTTTTTAGAACATTAACAAGGGTTTGTTTGCTTAGTTGTCAACAAGGAAAACATCGTAACGGAGGCGTTTGGCAAACCAATTGGAGATCCTTTGTTTTTATATGTTAAATACGTGCCCAAAAATGAGGCAGTTGGTGAACTTCTCAGGACAACAGGTTTTTTCCCCATTTTTCTTTCTACGCCACACAGTGCATTGTTTTTTCTACCTTCTTGTCTTATTTTTTAGAATAATTTAATAAAATAAAAAATGATTTCTCCTAATTTTGGCACAATTTCCCCTTATTTCAGAATGAAGACATTTCAAAGAGATTTTGAGGTGCAAGTAAAAGTTTTGTATAAATAAGCATCACACTTTTTGTCACCAGTTAAAGTATATATTATTGGTGGGATGCAGAGAGAGCGTGCGAGAGCGAGTGAGCGAGAGCGCGAGTCTGAGGCACTAGACTACTGAAGAGTAGCAGCATTTCATTGCCTACATGGATTCCTTCCTGGTAATGTGGTAGGCTAGCAATATTTTGGGTTAAAATCATGTTTGTGACTGTATCCATTTGTATGAATTATTTTAAAGAAATAAAAATTACAAACAAATACCATGTATCCAGCTTTGTTATTATTTGCTCCACTCGTACAGAGATTCAGAAGATAGAATCAGGCGGGGTCGGCGTGTTGGTCAGAAGCAGCCAAACAAAGTTTGAGCTCAGCGGCACCTTTAAGACCAACAAAGTTTAAATCTGGGTACAAGCTTTCGTGTGCATGCATGCTTCTTCAGATGGAGTGTGCATGCACACACAAAACCTTATACCCAGAATAAAACTTTGTTGGTCTTAAAGGTGCCCCTGGGCTTAAACTTGACTTAACCAAGTCGTCAGGGGCCTGCTGAATTCCATCAAAAGTGGAGAGCACAGCATTACCTCCACCTTTTCAGGGTTTGGTTGCTTGCTTTGGAGCATCAGAGGAAGTCTGAAATAAAAATGGTTAAGATAATTCAAGTCATCAGAGCAAGGCAGTTTATGTTATTGTTCCTGGGCATCTGGTAGTATCAGCACAATCCTATGCAGAGTTACTCCAGTCTAGGCGTGTTGTAAATAGCAGCAAGCAGTAGACTTTTAAAGTAGACTTTAATAATAATAATTTAAAAATAATAAAAACGTAAATTTTGTTTGTCGATTTTAGTTAATCCCATTGAAAACATAAAAAATTCAACTGTTAAAAAATGGTTACAACTGAAGTAATTTAATTTTTTGTTTTTAAATAGTAAGTTAAATTCTCATTTATGCATTAGTTGCTTGTATATGCAGATCTCATTAGTATAATAAATGCTGTGTGGTTATTGCTGTTATTCACACATTTCCCTTCTACCGTAATAACTACTAAGAAAGGACGAGGGGTGCAATTTTGTATTCCAGCCTCGGATGCAAAATTAGGTAGTTACAACTCTGGTTTGGTGTAGTGGTTAAGAGGGGCAGACTCTAATCTGGAGAACTGGGTTTGATTCCTCAGTCTTCCATATGAAGCCAGCTGGGTGACCTTGGGTCACTCACAAGTTCTCTCAGAGCTGCTCTCTCAGGAGCAGTTCTCAAAAGAGCTCTCTCAGCCCCACCTACCTCACAGGGGGTCTGTTGTGGTGAGAAGTAGGGAAGGCGACTGTAAGCCGCTCTGAATGAAGGGTGGAGTTTAAATCTAATCTCCTCCTCCTCTTCTTCTTCTCTGCTTTTTTGAAGTCTCAGAGCAGTTGCAGTAGAGTGTTAGAGTTTGGGGCAGGGATCCTCTGACAACCTAGCTTGAAAGGTTAGTGTGAGGATCAAGTAAAAGATGAGAAAAGAGGGAAGCTGCCCAGAGCTCACTGGAAAGAAAGTGGGTTTTTTTTAAATATAAGACATTTAACAATAGACAGTGCCAGTGAAAGAGAAGTGGATGGTTAGCTCTCCAGCTGAAACACCCAGTGCTTAACTTTTGTTTAGATCATGTTATATATTTATTGTATTCTGCTTAAGGCATAAAGGTATGTAAGTAAAATATTAATAGTCTACCACTAGGTGGCAAAATTATAGTATAAATCCAATTCAATGTAGCATATTTGTTTAAAATGTCCCTACTCTCCTCAAGCCTAAGGTGGCTCATAAAAACTCAATTAATACATATCAATAACAGAGTAATGTGCAAAACACAGATAATACAAGCACAATCTTCTCCATAACATAAAAACAGAGGAGAAGCTACAAATATATCAGACTTGTGTATTCAAATCCAATGATAACATATATCTATATATATAAAAGGGCAGACACTGAGGCTGTGTCGGACTCTGCTGGCCCCAACGCGGGTTCTTCCAGATCTGGCTCCACCTCGCTGTCTTCGGCGTCCCATACCTCCTGGTCGTCGATGGGCAGCAGGCGATGGCGCAGTTGGTCTATGTGCCTCCGGATGAGCTGGCCATCTTCAGTCGAGACCTCGTATGAGAGCGGTCCCGTTACTCTAACCACCCGGGTTGGGATCCAGGGTTTGCCCCGTGCGTAGTTTCGGGCGTACACTGAATCCTCAGGATAAAACCCCCGGGGTGCCTCCTGGTTTACCGGGCCTGGGTTGTGGTTGTGTGCCCAGTCCAGTCTGGTCGTCAGTCGCCGGCCCATTAAGAGTTCAGCGGGGCAGTGTCCCGTGGCGATGTGCAGGGTCGTCCATTGGCTGAACAAGAAAGCGGCTAGCCTGTAGTCCCATTCCCCTTGGATGATCCTTGGTAGTTCGCACCATCCACTCCGCCTGTCCATTGGTTTCCGGGTGGAGTGGAGTGGAGTGGACATGTCTAATTCCGTAGTACTAGCGGCAGACTTGAAAATGAATCAGCAGAAGCCAGATGAATGAATTTGGAGACCAAAGGCATGGTGCAGAGCACAGAACATTTTGAGATCGCTGATATCCTGGATTGTAAAGTGAAACGTGGTAAACTCTGGTACCTTATCGAATGGGTTGATTTCGGTCCCCAGCACCGCGAATGGGTGGAAGAAGGGGATATTCGGGCCCCTTACCTGATCCGTAGTTTCCACAGAAGGTTCCCGGACAAACCGGGAGGTCTCCCGCCCAGCCCGGGAGATCTCCCGCCCGGCCCGGGAGGTGTGTTGTAAGTGTATTTTAAGGGGGGCAGTATGTCAGCAAGCTGCCATTCTGTTTTCTGTGACCTCTGTGTACATATTCTTTCCCTGTTGCACCCGGCTTGGTTTCTATCATCCTACTCCTGCGTTGGAATGCAAAAGATAACTGCTGGAGGTTGTGTGGGGGAGAAGATGCTGTAATGCTTGGCTATTGCTTTTCCCATGACTACTGCACCTGTGTTATGTCTAATATCCTGCCTGGTTCCCATGGACTGGGCGCGCAACCGTTCCATTAGCCCGCCAGCGGGAAAGTTATTCATTGGACCTGTATCTCTTTGAAGTTCCTTTATTATGCTTGATCTAACTGTGTATCCCCAGTTCTAACAAAGAACGTGTTTGAGTATGTCGTCAACGCTTTGAAATAAATTTTGCTTTTCTTAAAACGTGGATTTATTCTCGATGCTTGGGGATCCAACAAAGTGACATTAGTGCACTCTAGGAATCACCAGAAACTCTATGGTTTTGCCATAGATTTCTGGCAATTACTAGTGTTGGGAGAAAAGAAGCAATCAGAATGCGTCTGGCCTCCATTAGAGCAAAGTGGGCAGGTCGCCTATACCACGTGCTAGGTTGAGAAACCCCTCCCTGATTGCAAGTCTCAGCAGCAGGCTTATCAGATTCCTCCCCCCCCTTTCCTTCAAAATCCTGTTTTTCTCACATTACACCACTTACATGTGTCATCTAGAACTGTAACGTTCTTTTTGAGCAACTTAGACATGCACAATGTAATTTCCCCCCACTATGTATCATCCCTGCCAATATATAGTCTGTTTTCAGCGATCCTCTCTTCTCCCCCGCCCGCCCCACCACAGTGGGACAAGACGTTCTTGCGATCAATCGCAATAAGCTAGTTTGAAGGACTCTCTGTTGTCTGTTTGTTGTTGGCCTCCCAGCCAATGAGCCCCAGGGGCCCTAGGCTGATTGCCTGGCGCGAGAGAGGTGCGATGTTGCTTCCCGTTTTTCTCCTTGGAAGGGAGGCCATGCCGTTACCATTGGTGCCCCCCATTCCCCCACCCCCTCCAAACTCCCACGGGTTGCTAGCAACCTCAGCTGGCACTACAAGATGCACCCTGAGAGGCTGGTTCTGGAAGACGGGTTACCAAAGCCTCACAACCACCTGTGTGGACTACAGAATACGTTATGTAATATTAGACTCTGTGTGTGTGTGTGTGTGTGTGTGTGTGTGTGTGTGTGTGTGTGTGTGTGTACACATTATTGGTATTATTAGGTAAGTTTTATAAAAACGAGCTTCTAAAAAGAGGGGAAATGGGGTGATCTTAGATACAGTCATGGCTATGAAGTCCATAGTATGAACAACAGAGCCTGCTGGGAGACGTAGTCTGAGAGAAATGGAAACAGGAAGCAGACAGGAGGAGGTTTTAGCTTGGGCCGGTGCATCAATTGTGATGCCTGTTGAAGAATAACAGTAAACTGGGTTTGGACCCCCAATTGGATTCAACTGCTTCACACGATGCCATGCTGTTTGCAGTGGAAGCAAAGGTTCCTTGCTTGTGGCCTGCATGCATGCATGGCTCACAGGAAAATGAAGCCAGGAGTCTCAGGCTCAGACTTGCTCCCCAGCTTCAGGATGACTTTGGGAGCTACAAAATGAAGGGAACGAGAACACCCTGGTGTCCCTCTGCTCTTTGCAAGAGAAGCAATGGTTTAGTCACTAGAAGCCAGAAAGGTGGTAGCAGCACACAGACAGGGGTGGTGGAAAATATCCCTCCCTCCACTAAGCAAAGGGCAGTTAAGGAATTCCCTGAGCTCTCAGAGCTGGCGTGGTGTAGGGGCTAGAATTCCGGATTAGGCTCAGGGAGACCCAGGCTCAGGACTCCTAGTCTGACATGGACAGTTGCTGGGTGACCTTGGGCCAGTCGCCCTCTCAGCCAGACCTGCCTCACAGGGTTGTTGTGAGGGAGGTCTGGCCGAGCAGACGGGAGAATCATGTAAGCTCCTTTAGGTCCCTGTTGGGGGCGAAAGGCAGGGTGTAGCATTTGCTGTCAATTGAATGTTGGCTGCAGTTCTCAAAAAAAGGGTGACTGCTCTTATCATTGCTTCAACTTGGCAGGAGAGGGGGAGTGGCTCCTTTGGTCTCCAGGCTGTTGTTAAATACTGCACGCTCAGGGAGTTGAGGGCTGGTGAGCAGAGCAGGCAGGAAAGGCCCCCAGGAATCAAGAACAATGCGGAGCAGAATGGGTGGCAGGGCTATCCAGTCACAGCCAGCTTGCAGGGACCCCCTCCTGGGGCTTTTGAGGCAAGAGACGTCCGGAGGGGTTTGCCACGGCCAACCTCTGCAGAGCAATCCTGGCCTGCTGGCAAAATATCTGCCCTAATTGTCAGCCATAGAAGTAGAAGCTGTGGTCCCTGTTCTTTGAAATCACTCCGTACCGTAGTG